TAATTAAACGATTGCTCCATGATTTTATAAAAGATACATATACGTAGATGTTTAATCTTGTAAATCTAAACACAAGTTTTGCTTTGTCAAACGAAGCGGTGTTTGTTTTTCCTAAAGTGAGCAACAAAAATTTTAACATCCTCATAAATGTTTTTCTTTTTGTTCCTTGGTTTCGTGTTGGTTGTGATTGACTCAAGTTAGGAACAACTACAGCCCCTCCTTCTTCATTAGCTGAGGAATTCAAGTCTGTCAATCGCAAAGTAGGTGCCAATTGTGGATAAACGTTTAATTTTTTTACTCTTCTTTTTCAAAGTTGTCATTGATTTCCTATTTTTCGCTAATTTTTTGCTCCAAAATTTTGCATGCATAATCAAAGAAATGGCTCAGAATTTGCTTAATGGTGGAATAATGAAAAGAAAAGGGAAGTTTCAATTTTTAAAAAAAAAAAAAAATTAACGCCCTTTTCTCTATTTCCTTGTAATTGCGGTTACAAATTGTGCAATTGATGCGCGTATGGAAATAAGTTGTGTGAGCTGACTCCATATTCAGTTAATGATGTAATTAAGGTAAATAAGCCATCTCCACTTATGGCAGAAGGTTTGGCCCTGTGATTCACTTTACAATTTATAGCTCGGCATATTCAGGGTGTACGTACTATTCTAATAGATTCTCAAAGTATTTTTAATGCTCTTTTGTCAAAGATTAGAGATATCAGTGAGTTGAGTATAATTATTTCTGATTGTATTTTATTATCAGCCTCCATTCCACTGGTCAAAGTTCGTTGGATTCGAAGACACGATAATATAGGTGTTCATTGTCTAGCTAGAGCGTCCTATCATTTTGATCGTGTTCATATCTTAGACTCAGTGCCAGACTGTTTGATGAATTATTTTTCCTTGAAATAATATATGATAATTCTTCTCTTTCAAAAAAAAAAAAAAAGTAAATAAGTGGCATTTTAGGCACAAATGATGGAAAAAATTTCAGTTCAACCATATTCTAAATACTTGAGTTTTATCTGTTCTCTATAAATAAAGAGAACAAATGGAGTACTTTTTAATGTCATATTACTATTACCTCTATTCCATAATATTTGTCACATTTGAGAAAATAGTTTGTTTCAAAATATTTAGCACATTTATATGTTTTAAGGAATAATAAATTTCTTTTTTTTTCTATGTTTTGTTTATCCTTTATTAGAACGAATAATTATTATTTCAATTTAATGTTTTTCTAGAGAATTAATATTAAATTAAGGGTAATATAGTCAATTTACTCAATAATTTATTAGAACTTAGACAAAGTTAATGGTTTTCTTAAGGAATATGAAATTCCAATTAATGGTTTTCTTAAGGAATATGAAATTCCAAACGTAATAAGTATTATGAAACGAAAGTAATATTTCACTTATTGAATTCCTATTGATGACTTTGGAATGGAAGAGGACAAGTATTTTAAGTACTTCACCCGCTTTGATCTGTTTAATGAAAATAGTTATACAAAAGTTTAAAATAGGTATAGGTAGTAAAATTACTATCTGCAATATATACTAGTATAGGTATTTGGATATTTACCATCCGTTACCCGCCATTTTAATGAGTTTGGTCATGAAAATATAAATACAAATAGATTTCTAAAGAGATATATATACAAGTGGTTCAAAATTTAGAAACACTTAACTCTGCTTCCATCCTTATGAATGACCTCTCACTAAACTAAATATAAAAGTTTAATTATTAAAAACAATAAATTAAAATTATTACTCTCTTCATCCCAAAAGATAGTCAACTTTCTATTTTCACACAGATTAAAAAAAATAGAAAGACAATTTTACTCGTATAACTTTCCTATTATGCTCATCTTAAAAAACACATGGAATTATTATATTGAAATACTCTCTCTATCTTAAAATATAAATCGTTTAAGGTTTTTAAGGATTAATGAAGTAATTAATTCTCTTAGATTATAATAAAACTAAGGGTAATTTGACCAAATTATCTTTCATAGTTCCTTGTGAAAGTATTTATTTTATATAATATAAATAAAGGTAACATTGAAAAAACATTATTTCTTACCCCTTAAAATACTCAAAACGATTTATATTTTGCAACAGATGGAATAATAAGTAAAAATTAATGAGGGTTATTGAAAATAAGATAAAATTTAATAAGGATAATAGATAATTTAAGAATTAACTATAATGCAAAAAAGGAAAGTGAACTATATTTTAGAACAAATAAAAAAAAAAGATAAATTATCTTTTTGTGACGGAGGGAGTAGCTTTTAACGATATTTAATGAAAATCCCGGTGACTTAATACTCCTGCCATTTCATTAATATTTGTAGTTTTTGATCATTTATAAAATTAATAAATGATTAAATCATGTGAGCGAAACTGGTAAAGGTAATTGACTAATTACCTTTTAATTAAATTAATGTTTCATTTAATGAAGTAAAAATTTAATGCAGATATTGGACATATTCAATTACTCTAATTTTTTAAAAGTATCATCAAAGTCATAATTTACTGCTTAAAATGCTTTTTGTCTTCCTTTTTCTTTGCTTGAAAAGAAATATGCAAATATATGAATATATAATAGGAGGATTGTGTGATCCAACTAGTGGAATTAATGTTGGTCATAAACACTTTGTTCCACATAAAGGTAAAATAAGAAAGAAAAGAAAAGAAAAGAAAAGAATATCCATTAATTAAAAGAATATTCAAGTTAAGTGATACTGATACAGAATCCAACAGAATATTCTCACAAAGCAACATTAAAATATAACGACAGCATGTGATATGTGGGAACAAACCATGTAGGATCCTCGTACACACCATCAATTAATCTATAGTGGCTCCAATCCCAAACTTAAAACCCTGAACATTCCTCATCATCAAAAAATTAAAATTGTTAACTAATGGCTTATTTTTGTTCTGTCTCCCAAATATATAATTATAATTATAAGATCACCAGAAAATAAATTACCATTTGCTGGAAAAAGTTTTATTAAGTTCTTCTTCTTGCAAAGAGTCCATTAAGCTGTTAAATGTACATTCATTTTCAGTAAAATAACTTTCAAGTATGTACTAATTACATACTTTCGCCCAAAAACTTTCATTTTGAGTGAATTTTACATCGCAATTACTCCTTAATATTATTGCATACAGAGGTTGGGCTAAATTTATCGGACATCCTTTTGAATTATGTGATCTTTTGTAGTAATATATTTTTGTGCCTAAAATTGATTTTCACAAAAAAGAACTCTTTTTTTTTTTTTTTTTTAACTCTTTTTTTTTTTTTTTTTGTTTTTTTTTTTTTTTTTTGAGAAAAAAAAAAGAGAACTCAATTTATTCTAAGCTTTTTCTAAATTAGCTTATATTAAAAAAATTATTATCCATATCAATCAAATATATGTAATTTAATTAGTAATAGTAGTCTCTCTATCTTAAAATTTAAATCGTTTAAGGTTTTTCATTCGGATTAAGAAAATAATTGATTTTCTAAAATTATAATGAAACAAATGTATTTCATCAAATTACTCTTTACTCCAAAATCATGATACTTTGCAAATAAGAAAATAATTGATTTCCTAAAATTATAATGAAACAAATGTATTTGATCAAATTACTATTTATTCCAAAATCATGATAATTTGCAAAGATAATTATTCTATCTAAGGGTAAAATTGAAAAAAAATTATTTATTAAAATACTCAAAATATCTTATATTTTGAAATAAAATAATCAGCTTAAAATGATTTATACTTTGCAACGAAAGAGAGTAATACATGTCCAACAAGATGTATATGAATATGAAATTAGGAATGTTGGAATAAGAAAGATCAGGTGAAAAGTGGTTGTTATGGGCATAAAATAGATTCTTTTGCAGACAACCATCTTGCATATTCACCTTAGCATGAGCTGAAGAGTCAATATGAGTGAACCCTAATTAATAGTAAATGGGTTTCACATGCCTAAATTAGAAAGTCACTGTGCTAAGTACGTGTTTATGAAATAGTTAGGTCGCACATGAACCACACCGATAAACTACCAAGTGAGTGGGTACCCACACTCTCTTTCTTAATTCCTAAGTCTAATTCTTTGACTGTTTAATTCTTTCACAAGATCTTTTTTTTTTTTTTTTTTTTTTTTTTTTTTTTTTTCTGTGTTTATTATGTCTGTATACCAGCGATGGACAGGTTATAGATCCACGCTTACATGTTCTAGATCATTAATCATTAAATAAATTGCGATGCAAATCCATTTTTATTATATTTTATTGGGATTATGGATAGACGGACAAGATATTATAACTTAAAATGTTTGAGGGGTTAAAAATATAAATAGATACTAGAATTTTTAATATTACAGGACGATTGATATATATAATTTGAAAATATAAATAATTTTTTTTTTTTTTTTTTTTCTGTGTTTATTATGTCTGATAACCAGCATGACAGGTTATAGATCACGCTTACATGTTCTAGATCAATCTTACAATAAATGGCCGATGCAAATCCATTTTTTATATATATTTGGGATTATGGATAGACCGGACAAAATTATAACTTAAAATGTTGAGGGGGTTAAAAATAAAAATAGAACTAGATTTTTAATATTACAGGACCGATTGATATATATATATTTGAAAATATAAATAATACTCACTATAGGAAAATTGAATTTTCAAAAATTTAATAGTACTATGTGGCTGCAAGCATAATACAGGCAGGGGCGAGCATTTGATTCGACTAATTCAGTTAATTCAATTAATTTGATCAATTTAACTTGGTGAATAAATACAGAGTTAAAAATTTCTCAGGAGAAAATCTGATTTTTAGTGATTGGTTAAATGTGCAGTTTGATTACTCAAATTAACTGACACCAAAAATTGACTAATTAAATTGGGTTCAAAATGCTATTCATATTGTCCAAATTGGTCCAACGCTCACTCTTATATGGCTCTGCCTGAAGGATACAGAACATACACCCTTATATATATAGCTCACACTTATAGTTTACTTCCACTATAATATGCTGAACTTTGGCATTTATTCGTACCTATGAACAAGAAGAAACAACAAAATTTGGATGGTGCTGCCTAAATCTATATTCAGAGACAAATATTTTAGAATAAAAAGGGAAAACTTTTTCCTTCCAGCTAATAAGCCTAGCAAGCTTCTAAATACAGTGCGTGAATATTATACAAAAGGTTATTGATAACTAATAGGTGCTGGTATTAACTACTTACCAGCCATAGATGGGATTTTCTACTTGTGGAGGTAAGAGATGCAGGTCTTTACAATGCTGCCTGTCATAGTCCCGTGTCCCGGGTATTGCTCCAGTACACAGTCTCAGGAACTCATTCCCCGTGAGGCAATAATGGGCGAACGCCAACCCCCCATCAACCATCTCACACATATTAGGCAAGGAAGCAGATTTCAAAATCCTCTTTCCATTATTTTTGCCCAATTCGGAATCACCCTTGTCATTGTTCAAGACCTTGTCAAGTTCAGAATATTGTATGAATCTCTGTGTAGCAGCCTCCCATGAGAGATGATATCTTTGCTCTGGAGTAAGAGGTTGCGGCTCATTTGCTAATGCTTCCTTCACTTTTGAAACAAAGTCCTCAGATGACTTGTAAGTTAAACAGTTTGGAAATGACCTAAAGAACTCATTTGATGGGTGATCTGCACATACAACAAATTTCCCCATCGCAAGTGCCTCAGCAGTAGCTGTGCAGAGTACATCGCTCACACTAGGATTTATGAAAACTTTGTACCTTCAAGTAAGGAGAAGTTAATGTTAATAGGTAAATAGATAACATGCATAAAGCCACAGATAAACGGATTTGGAAATGTTCAAAGGACTAACTAAAAATACTTTAAGCCAGACATATGCACAAAGTACTTCACTAGTCCAGTCGTTGTTACCATTCCAAATTAGGCCGGTAGGCTAACTCAGGATGTGAAATGATTCTATTTCTTTTTTCCTTAAAATTATAGTTTACTTGAGCAATGAAATTATAAAGTTATTCCAAATACTATTCTCCCCTCGGAACAACATTGGCATTGATCCAATAAAAGGCTTCGGTTCCCATCAGATTACTTACCCATGAAGAGAATCATCTGCATGATCTCGCCCTTTCAGAAAGTTGACATTCAAATCGAACTTTTTAGCTGCAATCTGAACTTCATGTGCATCCTCTCCATTTCCAAATACATCCAATTTGAATCCATCAAGCTCATTTTTGTGCTTTGATAGCAAATCTATCAACTCCTTATATCCCTTAGCCCAGACCATCTTGCCAAGGAAATATGCTCCTTTTGAGAAGGCCTGCTGCCCAAGTTCTCTTTCTGCAGCAACCTTTTCTCCAATTTTCAGAAACTTTGGATTAACACCATGAACATTGCAAATCACAGATTTGGGTAAATCCTGAGTGGCAGCAGAAAGGCGAAGAACCTGAATAATGAACACATATTTTAGTTGAAATGATAGGATGAACACTTGAAAACTAAAGATAATTGATGATAAACTTATATAAACAAAAAAATTTAATTGCATCCAATCATCTCTTTCAGCCAACTACTAAGCTTAAGCCACAACTCAGAATTGAATGAAAGTAAGCAACTTGAATCACAAATTAGACAAATTTACCTTGTGACAGTATGCTCGGGTAACCCAATTGTTTATGTGTTTTACAAAGAAAGCTTGGAGAGCCCCATTCCTTTCCCTCTTGATGTATTCTAGGTAATTTGTGTGGACAACACCTACAACATGGTTGAACTTATCAGTCCAGCGCTTACCATGGTGATACCAATTCAGATGTTCTGGTTCTTCCAAGATAGCAATGTCAGCGTCCTTCGACGGAATAAACTGAGAAGTATCTCCAGCTGGAATTATGCTTCTCCGTGATTTTGAGAACTAGAAAACGATGAGAACAAAATAGTCACGTACTGCTAACGATTAGTACTATCAAAATGACAGCGCAAAATCTAATTATCAATCACATACCTTTCCTGGATAGAAAGAGATTTTAAAATCAGCCTTAAAGCCAATCCTATCCTCAAGCCAAGTCCGGATATAATTCTCCTGCTCTTCTGGTGAACTAAAAGTGAGATTGTTGGGATAAACTAGTTCTTGATCGGACTGGCAAAGCCAAGGAACCAACAAAGTGACCTTTTGTTTTTCAGACTTTGATAGATACGCAGCTCGAAAAAGTGGATTTACAGCTGTGCCAGTCATCCACGGAAGACTAGCAGTTGTGACAATGGCAACATGCCTCTTCCCATCTGTTGGGTTATGATTTGATATATCAGTCCACAAGCCACCATCATAGCTATGTCCTGTACTTTGAAGGACACTTGCTATCCTTAAATCCAGTTCATCGTTCACATTCTCATTATCCAATAAGGAGGATTCTCCTGTAGAAAGTGACCGAAGTAAAATTTGATTCTTACGTTTACTGCACAAGCTTTCAACTATCTTGTCACATATATCTGAAATCATATTGAAAAACATAATTAAAGTTCAACAGTGTTTCTATCAGCCAATATGAAGCATGTTCTCAACTGAAAAAGAGGTAGGGGAAGCTATGGCACAAGGCTAGGGGGGATCCAAAAAATCAAATTAGTGGGGCAATGCATAAAAGTAGGAATTTAGTGGGGGCAAAATATAAAAATTCAATGGAATAAGTACAAATTAACATAACTATATATACTAAAATGTGAAAACTTATAAACTAAACTGTAAAAGACCAGTGGGGGCAAGTGCCCCCATTGCCCCCATTGTAGATCCACCCCTGCACAAGGCCAGTAAATATAAAAACGCATACGTGGAATAATTTACTCATAGCAAGGAGATATCAATAACAATTATACTGGCTCTCCTGATTGTTCAGCTATTAACGAACTGTAAATTGTTTATTCAACAAACGCAAGCAGATTCCTCCTGTGATAATCATACGAAAAACACACTATGGCAAAGGAAAAAAGAGGATTGGTGTAGAAGAGTTTATTAATATTAATACTGCCATCTCAACCCATTAGAATCTTAAAAAAGAAATGGGTGGGAAAACTGAACTATCCATCCACTTCCTTCCTGCCAGACAGACACCTTCTTACAAAACGATGAATCTAGAGACATGGCTTGTTTTTTTTTTTTTTTGTTCCTCACAGTGACAGGAAAAAAAAAATGTTATGCTAACAGAGAGAGTACATTTGAAAAGAGCAGAAAAAAAAGATCAAAACACTCAGCTACCAGGCATATTTCCTGGTTAAACATCGCAGGAAAGAAACAACAACAATTTGCTATGTTATACGTCAAATTTTTATTGCTACGTAATTAGAACTTTTAGAGGCTTAAAAGTTGTAGCCCTGTTATTCAAATAAATAACCAGATCCTAGATCTTAAGAGAAGTCCAATCTCTGTCATCCAATATTAACATAATTCAAGAGACAGAAAGAGCACAAGTACGCCTAATTTTAAAAGCCGCTATGGTTGCATATAGTTTACTGCCAGTATGCCACAGTAAAATCTCTTAAATCAATAATAAGTACTTGGTCCTGCATCAACAAGAAACATCCTAAATCTTTTTTTTAGAATCAAAAGTTATAATTTGATATCCAGAATTCAAACAAATAATACTCATAACATTTTGAAATTCATCCACCCGAATTTTTACCTATTTTATCCAAAGAAATCAAACTACAAGTTAAAGTTGGTATAACAAAGCATAACTTGTCTTGACAAAGATCACTTAGTTAATAATTTCCTCTTATACTTTTGATTGCATCCAAACATGCAAACCAAGTCAATATAGAGAAGCATGAAAAAAAATCAACGATTCGAGACTACGTAAAGAAAATATGAGGAATCAACTAAAATGATGAGGCTCATAAAATAGCATTAGCCAAAAATTACAAAACATATATTATAAATGGAGAGACAGGGAGCTGACAATTATTCATTTGCACTTGAATAAATCACAAATTACTTGCCTCTTCTAACACCAAGTTGATCCAAAAATGGCCCTGACTGCCTAACAAAATACGCCAACAATTCCGGTACATCCAGTGGTGGTACTTCCTATATCAGATAGAGACAAAAAAATCATTCGGCACAGTACACTGACTTAATGATGTATTTCCTCCTTTTGCATTAAATAAACATTAATCCTTAAAATTCTGAAAAGACTATACAAAGAACTAACAAAAGTTTTCTTGATTCACAGGAAACCATTTGCAAATGCACTCATCACTAGAGAAATTAGAACCAAAATTAAAAATTATTTAACCCCAAAACAGAAAGAACTTAAGCAACAAAACCAAATCAAACATTTAGTGAACAAGTTAAAGGATAGAAAAAATATCCTTGAACTTCATGAAAAAGAAATGAATACTGAAAATAGAGCATAGTATCCATTTCCATACATTCGTAAAAATCCTAGCCCAATAGCATCTCGTACAAATATATGACCATGGGCTAACAAACCAAAAGCTAATGAGAGGTGCTCACAACAGCATATGCAATATTATGATTGCAGATGCACACAGATGTCACAGAAAACCCTTGTAAAGAGAAGAATACATCTAAGCATCAAATACAAATATAGTCCAAAGCCACATATTGGTTACTTGTAAACCAAATGAGAGAGAGAGAGAGAGAGAGAGAGAGAGAGAGAGAGAGAGCATATTTGTTAAATATCCCAAAACTACAATAAATGACAACAGCATTTGAACCCCTGACCCTCCCACTACAAAATGACAGACCATCACCACCTAAATGTTCATTTTTTAAGACCGATATAGAACCATCCAATTGTATAAACTGTTTTCATGTTTATCACTACGCATGCATGAAATTTACCACATGCCATGCACCAAAATTTTGCATGCCATTAGATACTACATCAGACAGTAATGCACTTGATGCAAGAAAAAATCTTCCAGAGGGACCTAGCAGTAGAAGACACCATTACATACTAGTAAAGGGGATATGCATGTCATATATTAGATTTGAGATCGAAGGTGGAATGTGTCAGACAACTAACCTTTGTCTCTTGAGGCTCCCGGATTGCTTTCTGCAAAAATAGATAGATACTTCAGTAGAAGAATGGGTGCAGCTTTTGATACCAAAATGAATGCTAACATAAATAAAAAGAGCATCAAGATTTTTAACATTGATATTACAAGTTCAGGTATTCAATGTCAGACCAAACACCTATGAAATAATTTGAGGCAGAAATCTATACATCCTTCTCCCATGCAATAGCTTATAGTGGTATCAAAAATTAACAATTTATCTAAACAAAAAAAAAAAAAAAGAAAGAAAAAAAGAAAAATCACATACACGCCCACATAGGGATTCGAAAGTCTATGATAAGCAAAAATTTCCCAAACAAATAATGAGTCTAATGTTTGAAAATGAAGTACACAGCTTGGTGGAAAATAGCCATTAATGATAAGGCTTGTAATAGGCTTAGCTACGCTCATGGCCTATGTGTTACACAACTTAAATGAGATCCCAGAGGCTTACTATTCAGTTTGGTCAATATCAGGAAAACAACAGATCAAAACTCGATCATTCATACTAAATTCAGCTTTTCAATTAGGTTCTTTCAGTCCCAATTAACTTTATAAAGTATGCTTAGACAAAGTTTCACCTGAAGGTAGATTGCAAAAAGATTTTTGATTTGTAACTGACTGGGTGTGTACATCAGTAATCTACGAGCTCCATCAAACTTTGTTAACAAAATTAGCGCTTCTAACCAACAACTGAATAAAGAACCAATAAATCCCTCCACTTATAACCGCTCCAAAATAAATACATGAATTTGTAAGACACTATTACGCCATATAAGCATCAGGAACTCCAAATTTTAAAAAAATAAAGCGATAATTTTTTCTTTTTTTGAGTGAAAATATAGTGATAATTTAAACAAATTAGCAGTGACTAAAACTCTAAAAGGCATAACAAGCAAAATACGATGCAAACAACTGGTGGAGAAAATGAAAACTCAATCAATTCACCAAAACATACCAAGCTAGACTTCAATTTCTCCACAAACTCATTATTCTTCAAGCCCCCAAAAATCTCCACGGACTCACTCTTCTTCTCCAACTGCCTCAACCTCTTCTTGAACGCCCTTATGGGTTCCCATTCCTCAAACTGACCCCCCTCCTCTTTCGAATCCCCCCAAAACTCCCTAAATCTAACAGGCCTCCTCCATCTTCTAACCCTATCAAACTCCACAGTTCCATTTCTATCCCCATCCTCCGCCTCAGCCACTATTGCATTCCTTATAGCCGACAAATCAATCCCAAGAGTCGCCCTCGGTCCCCACTTCTCCAATACTTTCTTGCTAATCTCCGGCGCTGAGTAAACCCTCCGAAATTCCGATATTTTCGGCTGCAATTTCTTCACGAAATCAATTTCCGCTGCCGTGGATGACCTAAACGAACCTACAGAGAAGGAAGTGGACGCAGAGTTGATGAAATTCTCGATCTCTCTATCAAACGAGTTAGCTAGATTCTTAAAAGAGTTAGCTCTGGCCCGCATAAGTTGAAGATCCGCGTCAGCCGAATCACGGACCTCGCGCCATCCTTTAGATATAAAAGAGAAAGCCGAAGTGGAAGGTTGTGCTTCGCCGTCCATAGCAGATTCGATAAGCAATTAGGGTGTTTAGTCAATAAATTAGGGATTTTTCCTTATTTCCTCAGCAGAAGAAGAAGAAGAAGAAGAGTTGTGGAAGGGAGAGCAAAGAAATGGGGATACTGCAGTTGGGGTTTTTAACGGTTATGATTTTTTAGTGGGTTTTTTCTATACTTCTCTCGAAGGAGACACGTGGCCGAACACGGAGGTTTGAATGGGTAAGGAGAGATTTTGGCGGTTGCTGACTTGGGACGTTCACGTGGGATACTGAGGTGGCATGCAGTGATTGGGGAATGTCTGAATACGGTGAATATTCGCCAATGAAGTCTGACGGATATTCTGCTTCAAGCCTTCAAGGGAAAGAAGGAAGCCTGTGGGGTTTTGTATTGTCTGTGCGGGTCTACATGAGAATTGATGTGATTGAGGCAACATGGAGGATGGCGATTGGCCTGGTCTATGAATTATCATTTCCAAATTGTTTGTTGGTAAGTTGGCTTGCCTTGAATTGTATTGTTAGGCATGAATTTCAAGAGGCTTACAAAAAATTAAGATAATTAGCTAAAAAAATATCCATGTACGTCCGATAAAATTAATCTTATCAGTATAAAAAATTAACCTTTCTTATAAATGAAGCTACAACACTTCCAAGAAATATTCTAAGACTGTGTGAATCTTGAAATATAATATTATTAGAGGTTGAGATTCAATCATTAGACTCCAAATCGAATTATTATAAATGGAACCTTCTTCAAAAATTTCTCTAAAGGTGGATAATGGAATTACTGGTTTGTTGATTTTGTGCCCAACGTTCTTAATAGTTCAAATCGAAATTCTTTGACTTTGCTTACAGTTCGAGAGAAGTATAAATTAATTTTGAAATATTCAAAATCTACGTGAATGTTGAAATATTCTAAAAAATAATCTTTCTTATAAATTGACAGCACTCTTGAAAAATATTCATGTTAATTAAGTATGATTTAATTGGTCTTCTTACTTATATGAAAAATGGAGGTCTGAGTTCGAATTATCTCGATCTTATTTTTATTAATTTAGTGAGTAAAAAGGAGCAGTGTTGTTTCGGTCTATCGTATTCATTTCAGTTTGATATGGTTAATGTTTTACTTTATCCTTTATTTTTTAAGGTTTTCAAAAAATTTAATAGTTAAATGTACCAGTTTTGTTCATTTAACCGAATCGTATGTGAAATAATCAAATGCATTTTTAAAATATTTTCATTTCCATCACATTATCCAAAAATAAAATTTCTAAATAAATTAAAGATGAAATTTTTTTTAATATTAACTATAATATATAGTTTCTCAAAGAATAATAATAATCATAATTATTATTTTATTTATTATTATTTGTGAAGCAAAATACAACCAACCCTGTTTTGACAGCAACTGGCCAAGAGCAACAGCAACAACAACAAAGAAATACATCAAGTTGTCAAATGATACTGATTTTTCCAAACAGTGTTAGATTGACAGCACTCAAGCACACATTTCCATTGTCAAAACCAAAAACAATCACAAATTCAATTCCAAACAATCACCTCTATTTTATTTAAGTAAAAAACAAATTCAATGGGACCCTTTTTTTTTTTTTTTGCACAGTCCTCCACCCATTTGGTTTGGTATATTCCAATGACTTTGCGGGCTAATTTAAATGTGATCCCACCATTTTTTTTTTTTTTTTATTATCTTCGATCTTATTTTATATTTTAAGTGAGTAAAAAGGTAGCAGTTGTTGTTTCGGTTCTATACGTATTCATTTCAGTTTGAATATGGTTAATGTTTTTTACTTTTATCCTTTATTTTCGTTAAGTTTTCAAAAAATTTAATAAAGTTATTAAATGTACCAGTTTTGTTCATTAACCGCAATTCGGTATGGTGAAAATAATCAAATGCATTTTTTTAAAATTATTTTTCATTTCCTCACATTATCCAAAAAATTAAATTTCTAAATTACATTAAAGATGAAAATTTTTTTTAATATTAAAACTATTAATATATAGTTTCTCATGATGAATACATAATAATCGATAATTATTTTATTTTATATTATTAATTTGTTGAAAGCAAATACAACCAACCCTGTTGTTGACAGCAACTGGCCCAAGAGGCAACGAAGCAAAACAACAACAAAGAATAATACATTCAAGTTGTCAAATGATTACTGATTTTTCCAAAAAACAGTGTTTTAGATTGGGACAGCACTCAAGCACACAATTTCCATTGTCAAAACCAAAAACAATCACAATGTTCAATTCCAACAATCACCTCTCATTTTTATTTAGTAAAAAACCAAATTCAATGACCCTTTTTTTTTTTTTGCACAAGTCCTCCACCCATTTGGTTTGGTATTATTCCAATGAACCTTTGCGGGCTAATTTTAAATGTGATCCCACTCCATTTTTTTTTTTTTTTATCTCTGTCTTCTTCAATATAACATGTCATAGTCTTATTTACTATTGGTTTTCTTGATACATCTACTATTAACCATTTTTTTTTTTTTTTATCTCTGTGTTCTTCTATACATGTCATAGTCTTATTACTATTGGGTTTTCATTGATACATCACTATTTAACATTTCATAATCTTCTATTGTTTTCTAATTTATCTTTTACTTAATTAATAATTGTTTTTTCTCAAAGAAATTAATTAATAGTTAACATCAAGTAAATGCAAACAAATTTATGCACCTATCTAAATATGTGAGATTAATAATTTAATGCTTAATGGTTTGAGCGTGGATTTCATGATTCATGTGTTAATTATTGGTCTAATACATAAATTTATCCGTATGTACTTTGCGTAAAAAATTTTATGGCACCCTCGACTTTTACTTTGACAAACACTTTAATTTATAAAATTATACCAATTAGATATATTAAAACTTGAAAAAGTTATTTTATTGAATATTCAAATTTTTAAAATGATATCAATTACACACTCATTCGATAGTTAGAAAATGTAAAAATTATTGTTCCAAATATTATACTAATCACATATTAAATGAATATTTTCCATATAAATGCCAAAAACACCAAAGAAATATTATTGCTAGTATAGAGAGTGGTACAATATAAGCAAAATTCATTATTTCAAGGGCAAAATTTGAGGTGCTATAAGGTTTTTTCCGTAGAGTACATGGGTATATTTATGCATTTGACTGTTAATTATTACTATCTTAAATGTAACAACAAATGATTGTAAATTAATTACTAATGCATCATTTAAATTGTTCAAATAGTTTAATTACTATTCTAATCGACGACAAATATATTGTTTAAGGTTGTTATATGTGATTATTGAAATAATTAATTATCTTAAATTATAACTAAACATTCATTAATTTGATTCAATTTCTCTTTCAAAAAAATTATAGAGATAATTATTGCATTTAGTATAAAAAAAAGTAAACATAGAAAAATATTATTAATAACTCAAAACAACTTATATTTATAGAAAAAATAACTTTCCTAATACGACTTATAATTTTTCCTAATAAAACTTATAATTGTGGAGAGGAGGAATAATTTTTATAGATTAATGAAATTAATTTTTTCTTGTAACTATCAAAAGGTTATTATAATGGAAAAATATTTATATATTCCTTACATTGTTAAAACGTGATTGAACTTGAAATTATGCAACAACTATTAGGGGCATTCCCTATGAGTAACTTAATTTCAATGTCATGTTTTTTCTTTTTTATGAAATGATAAAGTGATAATTAGCTAATTAATATTGCAGTTGATGTTAAAATATAAAATAATAATCAAAGTATATTCTTTTTTATTTTAATATGTTAATAATAAATATTAATAAAATATTATGATATTTCAAATTTTATTGATTAATTAAACAAGTTAATTTATAAAATTACAAGTTTTAAATTTGTAAAACTTTTTTAATAGAACTTTGCAAGGTACAAATTTTAGTAACATCTTATGCCATTAAAACACACACACTATAAGACAACAAGTACAAAATTTTGAAGATTTCGACACATTATAATATATTATCTCATTAGAACAGGTTATGATGCACAGCTCACTTATTTATAGAAAGATAAACTTTTAAATTTTTTTTTTCTTTGGCATGTGGAAGTCGTTTTGTTTTTTGAAAAGATTATAACGTTATTTTTAAAATAAAAAACATATGAGTCACGTCATGAGTAACAGAGAACCAACAAATAAAAAATTATTATATGTGGAGAACTGATAATTAATTATTTTTATATTTGATAAAAAAAATTAAAAATTCTTATCAATTGAGAAAAACCTAGAGTTATATGCATTCTATGAGTAATTATCTTTTATTGTCTTTTTGTATATTGCAAATATTTAAGTTAAGAAAGAAAGAGATAATTATAAATTTAACGTTTGAATTTTATTCATTTTTCTACTCTAATGTCTGCATTTTATTTTTTATCAATTAAATATCAGAACTAATAAATCCTTTTACAATTAAGCACATTTGGTTGAAAATCGAAAAATTAAAATCAACCATTTTACTTCATTTCTTCACTTTATATATTTCCTAGATGTTATATTTATATTTATATCTTATTATTTCTTTTTTCTTTCATTTATATTTCCTAGTGGAACGAAAATTGTAAGAAATTTTATCTTTTAAAAGAGAGAGAAGATAATAAAAAATTTTAAAAAGAAAAAAAAAAAAAGAAAGGTGATGTTTATATTTAATATCGTTACTTAGCAAAATTATATATTTTAGTTTTTCAGTAAAATATTTCATCTAAAATGCACTTAATTGAAAAAAATTTGTCCACTCTAGCTTTTAATTGATAAAAAAAAATTAGATACTAAAAAGGAAAACTAACAAAGTTTAAACACCAGTTTATAATTATTCCAAATTAAAAAATAAGTTGCTATGCATAGCAATACTAATAAAAAATGACAAGAAGTGTCAAAATGGATCATATGAAACTGGAATACATATCACAGTACGTAAATAAAGTTAAATTTAAATGAATACATATAAAAATGGATAATCCGTATAAGACACAAATTTAAACGAATTGTATTATGGTTTGACTCATCTCTAGCTTGTTTAATTAAGGATAAAAAAGTAATTTTGATATGTTATATATAGCAAGAAAATTACATATTTTAACACGTCGAATTTTAAAATTTGTGTACGAGTCATTCAATGAAATTGATCGGTGTTTAAACTCATATATGATCCTTTTAATTAAGTGGGCTACGCCTATTGCATATCACTCGTTTATTTTTATGTTGTGTTTGTATTCTACTATTTAACATGATTATTAAATGGTATCACTCGTTTATTTTTATATTGTGTTTGTATTCTACTATTTAACATGATTATTAAATGGTATCACTCGTTTATTTTTATATTGTGTTTGTATTCTACTATTTAACATGATTATTAAATGGTATCACTCGTTTATTTTTATATTGTGTTTGTTTGTGTTTGTATTCTACTATTTAACATGATTATTAAATGGTATCACTCGTTTATTTTTATATTGTGTTTGTATTCTACTATTTAACATGATTATTAAATGGACGCGTTGGTGTTGGTCTTACTCATATTGCATATTCGTTGAAACGGTTGGAGACACTGCCGTTTAGATGTTCGTTCTACAACAAAACTGACCGGGTTCGTAGAACTCTGGGTTAAGATAAACCGCCACGTCCTATGGCAGAAGCTAGCTGTTCGCTTGTCGACTCGGCCACGCCTTCGGTTTCCTTAACGCGTAAGGTTGTTAAATGGAGGACAATATAGTCATTTTGACGGGAAAAGGAAAAATGAAAAAATAACTGCCTTTATCGGGAATCGCATTCAGATAAAATCAAATTCCCAGAGAAGAAAATTCACAGGGAAGAGAGAAAAGGGTATGGGGCTGCTTTCAAATAGGTGATTTCTTTTTTCTTCCTTTTTTTTTTTTTTTAAAAATTTTTTCAATATGCTTATTGAAATTTCTTATTTTAATTGTCTTACTGATCTTTTTTTCTGAACACAGGATCAATAGGAAGAACTTGAAGCCAGGAGATCACATATACTCGTGGAGAGCTGCATATGTATATGCACATCACGGTACTTTCTTTTCTTGCTCTTATTTTAAGGATTTTTGTTTAATTTAGTGATTTGTTAAAATTTTATTTTTATCATTTATTTTGTTTTATGTGTTTGTTCTTTTGTTTGAAGTGTTTTTATATTGGAATGATAACTAAACTGATACGCAGTAGTGATCTGCATTATTTTTAGGCTCAAATTGAACAATGTGATGATGGGTTTTGTGCTCTTGAAATGATATGATGAGGAAATTTTACTAAAGGATTTCCCTTTGAGTTCCTCTAACTGAAACTAGTACTACATTGGATCTTAATTGTGTTTATTGAAACGTGAATGTTATGATCAATGTCTATCTGACGTTGCATGCGTTGAGCAGTTTTGTCAGAATGTAGCCTTGAGATTATGTATTTGCTTAGGTGATTGAAGGTGATATAAGTCATGTTGTTGACAAGAAATAGTAATAAAAGTTGGGATTGTTGCCTTCACTGTTAACTTACAGGAATTACGTCAGTTTGTCTTAGGACTGTGATGCTTCTCCCCTTGGTTTTATATCCTTTACTAATCAGTTCATGAATAACATAGGTGTACGATTGTTTACTTGATTAGCATTAAGATTTGCTATGATGGGTGCCTTATTGAACTGTGAACTGATTGTATTTCATGGTTTTTTTTTTTTTTTTTTTTTTTTTTTTTTTTTTTTTTTGTGAACTGAGTATTTCATGGTTTTTTTTTTTTTTTTTTTTTTTTTGTTTTTTTTTTTTTTTTTTTTTTTTTTTTTTTTTTTTTGTTATTATAATTTACAGTATAGAAATTTTTTTTTGACGTGTTAATTTTTCTACTTTGAGATACCATTTTCATGCATTATTGTACTCTGCTCGTGCTCATGTAGTGATGAGTAGATGCCAATATCTAGCCAATGCATTGGTTTACTATAATTCTTTTAGGGATAATTCTATTTCAGGTACTTGAACTTTTCAATTTTTCCATTTTGGCGTTTCATATCATCTCAATTTTCTTTTTCTAGCTTTCATCAAATTAAAAACTCTTTGAAACTTAGTAGACATCATTAAAGTTATAAATATGTTTTTTTTTTTTTTTTTTTTTTTTTTTTTTTTGGTTTCTGACTTTAGCGTCTTTCCTTTTAATCATTTTTTTTTTTTTTTTTTTTGGTTTCTGACTTAGGTCTTTCCTTTTATCATCTGAGCATACTAGGAATCTATATCGGGGATGATAGAGTAGTTCATTTTACCAGACGTGGCCAAGAAGTAGGAACAGGGACTGTGCTGGACCTGCTCTTGTTTAGCTCGGGACCAGCCTATCAAGCGCCTTGCCCCACTTGTTCTATGCAGGAAGGGGGACATGGTGTTATCCTCTCATGCTTGAACTGCTTCCTTGCTGGTGGTGTCTTGTATCACTTCGAGTATGATGTTAACCCTGCTCTATTTCTTGCAAAAGCACGTGGCGGAACTTGTACTCTTGCAGTCTCAGACCCAAATGATATCGCAGTCCATCGGGCAAAATATCTGCTTGAGAATGGATTTGGGTGTTATAATGTATTTAAAAACAATTGTGAAGACTTTGCTATTTATTGCAAAACTGGTCTCCTTGTTGTGGATCAAGGAACTATGGGACAGAGCGGCCAAGCAGCATCCATTATAGGTGGCCCTCTTGCGGCTGTTCTATCTACACCATTGCGCCTTGTAACCACCAATGTTTATGGGATGGCAGCAACAGCTGTCGGTGTTTGATTCAACTGTTGTAACTTGCTTAGTGCTTGTGTAACTGATGTCAAATTGTATGCTCCTTCAAGAACATTAAACTGGCTTACAGTTGATTCAACTGTTGTAACTTGCTTAGTGCTTGTGTAACTGATGTCAAATTGTATGCTCCTTCAAGAACATTAAACTGGCTTACAGTTGATTCAACTGTTGTAACTTGCTTAGTGCTTGTGTAACTGATGTCAAATTGTATGCTCCTTCAAGAACATTAAACTGGCTTACAGTTGATTCAACTGTTGTAACTTGCTTAGTGCTTGTGTAACTGATGTCAAATTGTATGCTCCTTCAAGAACATTAAACTGGCTTACAGTTGATTCAACTGTTGTAACTTGCTTAGTGCTTGTGTAACTGATGTCAAATTGTATGCTCCTTCAAGAACATTAAACTGGCTTACAGTTGATTCAACTGTTGTAACTTGCTTAGTGCTTGTGTAACTGATGTCAAATTGTATGCTCCTTCAAGAACATTAAACTGGCTTACAGTTGATTCAACTGTTGTAACTTGCTTAGTGCTTGTGTAACTGATGTCAAATTGTATGCCCTCTCAAGAACATTAAACTGGTTTGTGGTTTTGAATGTATGATTTTGCAGTTTTCTTTTTTAATTGCATCTGGTGTCGAATGACAGAATTTTTATGCAAGTGTAATTTTGTATTGGAAGTGACGATGACATTATGATGACACTTTCATACATACGTGGACTGGACCTGCTGGTGTTTCACCGACAAAGGGCTCATCCCAAGGAATTCTCATGCATGAGCATTCTCTACGAGAGCATACTCGCTCTTCAATTGGAGACAGCCAAGGGTGTCTTGAAGCAAGAGCCAAGTTTAGTACTCTAATTGTTAACTCTTCTATTGTAACCTTTTACAGAATTGGCTATTGTTTCTTGCCAAGAAGATTATTTACTGTTTCATCCTCAAAAATTGACAATTTACCTGAGGCCAATCTTTTGATTATTTTATTTGGAACCCATGACTAATCCTTTGATTTGGAAGTGTAATCTCAATAAGAAAATACACCATTTTATCCTTGTTAAGCACAAGCGAATTTCAACTATGAACAAAATTTGAATTATAATGCATTTCCTTTACACCTAGTATGAGAAATTAAACTTCAAACAAATTCGAAAAACAAATTGTGACATTTATTTATACTCCCCAGCTTCAGCTGTGCTTATGGATATTGGTTAAAAAAAAAAAAAGAATTGATTAGGCTAAAAAATCTCAGCTTTAATATAACGGGTGAAAGAAAAATGTCAGCTTGCGCATGATTTACAGACCAAAACAGTTTACCAACCAAAGCAACGCAAATCATTATCAACTTACAGGAACGACTAACAAAATTTAGTGAAAAGAAAAACCATTGAACATTGTTAAAACAGCCTGATATGATGCCCACAAGTATTCTCCTAACTTGACAAAATTGACATAATAAAGATGTATATCATGTGATAGCCAGCACTTTCAACTTGACGCCAAGAAGAAGAAAAAGAAAACACTCAAATAGCGCTAACAAGGTGAAGTGGCTTCTGATGCAAGTAAACAGAGCAGTTAGGATTTAGGAGTTTGTGTTCCACGTTGATGGAGGAGCTTTTTTTTTTTTCACTGGTCTCCTAGACGAGAAGGACAGCATTTATACAACCATCATTCTCTGGATTATTTGTTACTTGAGCATATTTCCCTGCACCAAACCAAAAAAAAGAAACAAACGCCTGCCCTCAAAAAGAAAGCCAATAATACCAAAATGGGAAACAGAAAAGAGTGTATTTACTAATGCAACAAGGGTTGATGTGCGCAAACTTACCCCATACAACTTTGCCAGCTGGTGTGACAAGACCTAATTCACTGACATTCACCTGAAATTCACAATGAAAAATGTGCCGTCCACATAATAGCAAATCAGAATTCTAAATATACTAGTACATCAATTAATATTCGAACAACGGAACGAGTATTTACCTCAATGATGGTTCCTTTTGTTATAACACCAAGAGATGTATACATTGGACCATTAGGATTTTTCTTCACTCCAATGATTTCAAGATTGAAGGTGCATTTGAGTTCAGGGTGAGTTACATGGGCTTTTGTAAAACGCAATCCTGAGGGACGGATAAAACGCTCATACTTGGGAGGTTTTCTTGTAAAACCTGGTCCCACAAATGTAGCTTTAGTGACCATCCTCTTCCACTGCTTGGCTGCAAAAATGAGGAAAAGTGATTTATGATGAGAACCCAAAACAGAGGCAGTTATGCCACAAATAATTTTATAAGATATCAGATTAACAGAAAACTGAATCTCACAAGGAAAGGTCGCACTTTTGTACCAAAAGCGCATAAACACAGGCCTCAAGGGGGCAATATGTTTTTTTTTTTTTATCAAGTACTTCATAGCACTTCTAATATGTATATACAAAAGAAAACAATTGGAGAAGTGCTTACTCTTTCGTTTGCCAGATCTAATCACTTTAAACATTTCATCTTCTGCAACAGGCCTCACCTAAAGAAGGAAGAGTTCTGGTTAAATAACATTAAGCATAAATAGAAGCGTAAAGCAACTGAATCATAATTGAGAAAACGAAAGAACAAGAATCACCGAGTAAGTAAACAACAAAAATGCTACAAAAAATGTGAACGCCATCTAACCTTGGGTAGAGGGACCTCCCACTTCCCAGCCTTCTCTTTCCTCTTTTGCTTTATAGTGTTGCTGAGCGTCTGCACATAGCATAAAGTTATATGTACAGAATCGTACATTCACATCACAATTCTTTGCACACGCATGCACATAAACTACATATAGAATCACATTAACCAATATCTATCAGCTATTAACCTTCGCCCGTTGTGTATTTTCACGATCCATCAGATAGGCAGGAACTGCTCCTTCATTAACTTGATCATCCACCTTGCGCCTAGATGTTGACTCCTCATGCATGGCCAACCTGTTGACATGATACAAAAATTATCCACAAGCAAAACCATCAACAAATGTTAACCAATAACTGATAAATGTAGCACACCCTGATGCAATTGCAGTACTACTGCACATTAACCAGCTAATAAATAGAAACACAAGCAAAATATGGACAGATTAATTTGCAAGAAAATATAAAAAGACTAAACAGAGAAAGGTACATTCGCATGTATGCAATTAGGTCCTAACTTTTAAAAATCTGACCATAATTTTCACAAATGCTTTGAAAGATCCTTTACATCAGATCTGAGATGAAGAAAATTATTTAATTGTGCATACAACAAATAACAAAAAATTTTTTGGCCTGTAGATTTAAGTGATAACAAAAGACTAGCAGATCATTGCATGATTAGCTACAAGGGAATTCACCTTTTTTTTTTTTTTTTCCTTTTTCTATCTTTTTTCTTCTTTTCGTCTTTTGGTAACAAACTTCTACCACAAGCCATAATCCATCTCACCAGAAGATAAAATCTTTGCTAGAAGTTCTAAGCCTGAGACAACACCAATAAGTTTGACTGCAACCATCATACCAACTTTCACTCTCCATAAATTGTTTTCAACAAAATTATTCTCACATTTTACACTCACCAACATTATCCCCTGTGCACAACTCAATTTGGTGAAAAATCCAGAACAATTATCAATTCTAAAGAACTCTAGCTCGTCAGATATTTCTATCAAATTCAAATAATTATTTCCAAAATGTTGAAATTCAAAATTATTTCTAGCCCTCCCAAGTCCTAATCTTCCACTTAGATCAGTCCATTATCAGGTAATCATCCTTTCCAAATAAGCACACACAGAAAAGTAACAAATACAATAAATACTAACATTTGCTTTATATGTATAGTTCACAATTAATTACAAGAGACAGAAAGTGCTTACGTTTTCTTCATGAGGGCCTTCTCAGCATAGTTTTTCTTGGCAATCATCTTACCCTTAATACCCAATGCCTGATATCACCAATAGAAACCAAATTAAAATCCTATTCCCGCATGAACCAATCATCATTAAAAAAAAAAAAAAAATTGACAGAGAAAAGAAGAAGCAGACCTTCTGGGCTCTTTCAGAGCGCTTGTGAACTTCACGCGCCTCCTTCTTGCGCTTGCGCTCGAAGTGGTCGAGGCGGTAGCCATGCCTCTTCCTGTGCAGTTCTATGTAATCCCCTTGCGGCTATCATCAAAATATCAATTATCAGTTAATCAAAAACGATAAAAATAAAAATAAAAATAAACCAAAACTTGAAGCATCGCAAAATAGAGAACAACAAACCATGGCGAATTCACTTTCAGTATCAGACTACAGAAAGAAGAAACCAGAGTGTAAACTATTTTTTGCGTTAGAAGATAGAAACCCTAACTAAAAAGTTTTCGATTTTTAGGACTGAAAATGGGTTTTAATTTTCGGGTGGAGAAGTTGGGTTTTGGATGTTACGACCGGTGCATACCGCCAATTAATTGGGTCCGTGAAGACAAGTTTTGCCCTGGGCCTTTTCTTCACCCAATTGGGCTGCATTCTAAGTCAGGGTTATGAAGCTATGAATTAGGCCCAAAAATCTTGGCTCAAATTATTTACTAATTTGGGTCAACTTAAATAGAAAAATTTTAAATTTAAAACATTTTTTTAACAGCCAAATAATATTTTATTATTATTATTAAAATTAGGAAAAGCTTAACAAGTTCCGGAATCTAATCTCAAATCAATGGTTCCCAATACACCCAATATAATCAAAGAGAGTTAAGTGAAAAGAACCCGATGCTAAGGTTAATCAAGAAATAAGAGTAAACAGAATATTGAAGAGTAGGAAAAATTCTTGAGATAAGAATACAACGCTACAATAAAACAGCCTCCCTTGATTCATAAAAAAAAAATCACTAAATATAAAATTTTCATCTGCAAAAACATAAATTGATGGTAGTATAATCAAACATGCATCATATACTCTTATCACAGAATCTTTTATGGCACTTGAAGGTTCTTTAAAAATTAAAACAAAAAATTTACTTATTTTTCAAACGAATGATACTCAATTTGCAATCTAAATTTGATCGCAACGTACAATTTATAGAAAACTAATCTTTTTTTTTTTATTAGATTAAGTGCATTGATTAGGTCATAAAAGAAAACGATTAACCATTTATAAATCAGATTATAATTATATGTTTCTCATGCGTATGAACGAGTTAAAAAAAAGAATAAAAATTGAGTTTAATTAAAAAATTCTACTAAAATCAATTTAAAAAGTCAATTTTAGATAAATTATACATTTAGAGTCAATCCATGTAACAAATTGGAAAAAACCAAATCTTAAACTAATAAGTGAGGAAAAAGTGAAATGAGTGCATGTGTTGGTGTGTAGTGTGATTGGATATTTTGTGTTGAAGGTGAAATTATGAGCAGAGGCACAGCTCAGGTGGGTCTTAATATTTGAAAGCACATGCAAAATTATGTTAATCATTGAACTTGGTGTTCCCAATTTGCAGTTATAGTTATTGATCACATGCCATTATTTTGTCCCCAGATCGATAATGGGACTGTCCATGTTTCTCATTCCTTTCAAATTTTCTGGAACTTCGGGTTCTAGTTTTAAAATAAACATTGTACCACTATTATTAGATTGAAAAACAATATATTTTCTATTGTTTGATTATAATATTGAAAATTAATTGAATTTTAAAAGATTATAAAAATATTTATAATTATCAAGTTTCATATTTTAAAATTTATTATTAAATATGAGAAGAAAATAAATAAAATTGATAAATTATAGTAGTTGCTAATAAATGATATTACCTCTATTTTATGATAGTTGTCACATTTGGAACTTCACATCTCTTTAAAAAACTATTAAATTTGCCCAAGTTATAATAAATTATTGAATTAATTGATTATATTATTCTTAATTTAATATTAATTTTCTAAAATATCATTAAATTAAAGTAATATTTATTGATCATATACAAAGGGCTCTTTAAAAACTATTAAATTTCGCCCAAGTTATAATAACATTATTGGAATTAAATTGATTATATTATTCTTAATTGATTATATTATTCTTAATTTAATATTAATTTTCTAAAATATCATTAAATTAAAGTAATATTTATTGATCATATACAAAGGGTAAACATGAAAAAAAGAGATTTATTACTGTTTGGAACTACAAATGTGACAAATATTCTGAAACAAGCTATTTTTTTCAAATGTGACAAGTATTATGGAACGGAGGTAGTACCAACCACTAATGTTGAAGGCCATTAACTGGTAATCAATAATAATGAGTACGGTGGACTAATAAATGTGTATTTATAAAATTATAATAAATATATAAATATTCAAAAAATATTTTCTTGTTTCAAAAGAGAAAAGTCATTTTCTTTTAAAATAAAAATACCTTTCCTCTTAATTTAGAAAATATTTATGCTGACTAATTTTCCTAGACACCTTAAATATTAGAAAATTTGAAAAAAATGTTTTCTATGCAAATTATTTTTCAAAAAACAAATGAAACCTTTATTTCAAAATTTTTTTAGTTGATTCCAATTAGAATATTTTTAGACTAGTTTACACATCAATTAAAGATATTCATAATCTAAATGTACATATATTGAATGTATGGGGTGGATATTCAATGGAACAAAGTAATTTAGTACATGATTAAGACAACAACATGTTTACCTATATAGTTATGTTTTTGGAATTTGGATGAAGCATGTGCATGCTATTCTTTAGCAAGAAGCTTAGACAGATTGTACATACACACACCATGTCTATTGGGCAGTGCATTGAACATTCATTTTCCAACTATATATGTTATTTAGATGAGATGGATACCCATCCATCCTTTATCCCTTCAATAATGGCAATGGACCTTAGGGAGGGCTTAGTGGTCTCAATTTACAATTCTAGAAGACTCTTCTCCCTTTTTAATTTCCAAATGTCCTACCTTCTACTTATACGTATATACATACTACTACTCCAATAGTTTTTGTACTTTCATTCACAAAAAAATATATCATGAAAAATATATATATATATATATAATATATATATATATATATATATTATATATATATATATATATATATATTCTTACTATATTCTTTACTATATAAAGTATTGAATATTTTTTAAATTGTATAATATTTTAAATGCTCAATAATTTATTGTATTAGACTTCAATTTTAAGTTAAAACTTTTGACATATTGTTTTATGTTTCTTCTAATCAGACAGTCTGAAATTAAAAAATGAAATATTTTAATCTTTAAACGTTCATTTGTATATGATTAGAAATGAAAAAATATTTTTATTAGAAGTTTTGAACTTCATACTTTAAACCAGATTGAAGAGATTTACTAGAAAGAAAGATTTATTACTATTGTATAATTTATCTTCATCCTATATTCAAAAAAATCAAATTTAAAAAAAAAATAATTGCATCTAGAGAGTTATTTTCTATCGAGGAATGAAAGTTAGTTGGGCCAAAATGAAAATTCACCCTGAATTAGAGGAATGTAATTGGCCTGATTAGTGGAAAATTAAATGGTAAAGAGAAAAAAAAAAGGTTGAAGGTTTGACCTTGACTATTCTTACTTTAAGTTCTTTTGACCATATATACTTGATTCTTTTATCAGATATCAATGTCGTTTTGTGCCCCTTCTTCTCCACAACAAAAAGCTATAGTTTCTATTCTTTCTCAGGAATATGTTTTGCTTGCTCATTACTTTACATTTATGATTTTAGCAAACCTTCAAGTTAAACTAGAAAATGGTTAAAGGTCACCCCCACATTTTTTCCGTTAGAGACCTTGTAAATTTTAGTTCACAAAATTATCTTTCTAGTCATGAATTTCAAATCTAAAAGTCATCACTTTGATACTCCATCAATATTCATATTTGTAAGAAAATTATAATATTAAAAATCTAGTTTAAGAAAAATATAATTTTATATGAGTTGATTAGTTATAATCAAAACTGTAAATAAGTTGAGCTAAACTGAACTTTGTTGAGCTTAAGCTCGGCTAGTTAAAGACACATTTGAATTTAACTCATTAAATTTAAAGAATAAATTATTTTAAAATTGAATTTCAATTTTGAATAACTCACGAGCGGCTTGATTTATTTATAATTCAATTTATAATATCTTCAAAAATTTAGATATCATATTTCATGTCATTTATAATAATATTATTGGAAAAATGATATGAAAATTATCAACAAGATATTGATTGATGTGGTAAATCATCTCAATTCTTATAGGGACGAGAATACAAATCCAATTTTCATGAAGTGGGCTTTGCTGAGAAGGCAAGGGAATCCAACTTCTTGAAACTTAGGTTAATTTAATTATATCATAATTGGTCTAAATAAATTATACTATATATCAAAACCAAAACCCCACCAATTTGAGGATTTTAATAATAATAATTTATAGTAATAATAAGATATCCAATTAGAGGAAAAGCAAAAGGAAAGTGATGGTGGGGCTCACACTTTTTGACCCTTTGGACTTAGCTCGCTATAAATCTATAATGTAAGAACCTAATGCCACTTGAAAACAAAAAGCTTAGCATAAAATATGGGACCCATTTTTGTCTATTCTTTTAAAGTCTCAATCAAAAGCTACCTTTGCACCGCCACTCCACACCAAAACTTTTAGAATGATCAATCAACATTATTTTTATTTTCTATTTTTATTTTTTGCAATATAAAAAAAAACAATTAATTAAAAAATTTAATAGTAGAAGATACATATGCCCTACCCTTGTTGGTATATGGTAGAGAAATGTTAAATGATTGGTATAATACTTCCAATTTATGTCATGTATGATCTCAAAATACTTTTTTGTCCTCTCATTTTTGTTTGAGATGGAATAACTTTTAAAATTTTTATTTATTTGGTTAATTTAATAACTTTTTAAGAAACACATTAGAAAATGTTATCATATCGAATATAATTTATTTAAATTACTTTTAATTCAATATTTTTTGAATTCATCTCAATGCTTTTCCTTTTATCTATTGGACGGTTAAATAAATCATAATAGTAATTATTTATAGTAAAAAGAACTTGGATTTGAAACTTCTCATATTTTAAAGGGGCATTTGATTTAATTGTTCCATGCAGCTAATAGTTGTTTCACATCCAACAACTACGTTGTAGGGGTTTGATAGCTTTTTTAATCTCCAGCTGATAACTAATATGAGTCTCAATCAGCTGTTAGATTTGTTCAGCAAATTTAACTGTTCTAGTAATTTTTAACTGTTTTAATAGCTGTCAACATTTTACTAGTGATTAGATGTTAAATATTAACTGTTAGTAGTTAACGATTATATAACGATTTAGAATAAAAGTGCTTTGTACAAATTACTGTTTGATTAGCTGTTTAATATAAAATGATAAAAAAATAATATGAAAGCAAGAAACAAAGT